ATGATGTCTGTCTGGTGATGTCTGTCTGGTGATGTCTGTCTGGTGATGTATGCTGATGTCTGTTTGATGATGTCTGTCTGCTGATGTCTGTCTGGTGATGTCTGGTGATGTCTGTCTGAGGATGTCTGTCTGGTGATGTCTGTCTGGTGATGTCTGTCTGCTGATGTTTGTCTGCTGATGTCTGTCTGCTGATGTCTGATGATGTCTGTCTGGTGATGTCTGTCTGCTGATGTCTGTCTGCTGATGTCTGTCTGGTGATGTCTGCTGATGTCTGTCTGCTGATGTCTGTCTGCTGATGTCTGTCTGCTGATGTCTGATGATGTCTGTCTGCTGATGTCTGTCTGGTGATGTCTGTCTGCTGATGTCTGTCTGGTGATGTCTGTCTGGTGATGTCTGCTGATGTCTGTCTGCTGATGTCTGTCTGGTGATGTCTGTCTGCTGATGTCTGTCTGGTGATGTCTGTCTGCTGATTTCTGTCTGGTGATGTCTGTCTGGTGATGTCTGCTGATGTCTGTCTGCTGATGTCTGTCTGGTGATGTCTGTCTGGTGATGTCTGCTGATGTCTGTCTGCTGATGTCTGTCTGGTGATGTCTGTCTGCTGATGTCTGTCTGGTGATGTCTGTCTGCTGATTTCTGTCTGGTGATGTCTGTCTGGTGATGTCTGCTGATGTCTGTCTGCTGATGTCTGTCTGCTGATGTCTGTCTGGTGATGTCTGTCTGCTGATGTCTGTCTGCTGATGTCTGTCTGGTGATGTCTGTCTGCTGATGTCTGTCTGGTGATGTCTGTCTGATGATGTCTGTCTGGTGATGTCTGTCTGGTGATGTCTGTCTGGTGATGTCTGTCTGCTGATGTCTGGTGATGTCTGTCTGCTGATGTCTGTCTGGTGATGTCTGTCTGGTGATGTCTGTCTGCTGATGTCTGTCTGCTGATGTCTGTCTGATGATGTCTGTCTGATGATGTCTGTCTGGTGATGTCTGTCTGCTGATGTCTGTCTGCTGATGTCTGTCTGGTGATGTCTGTCTGGTGATGTCTGTCTGGTGATGTCTGTCTGGTGATGTCTGTCTGGTGATGTCTGGTGATGTCTGTCTGCTGATGTCTGTCTGGTGATGTCTGTCTGCTGATGTCTGTCTGCTGATGTCTGCTGATGTCTGTCTGGTGATGTCTGTCTGGTGATGTCTGTCTGGTGATGTCTGTCTGGTGATGTCTGTCTGCTGATGTCTGTCTGGTGATGTCTGTCTGGTGATGTCTGTCTGGTGATGTCTGTCTGATGATGTCTGTCTGGTGATGTCTGTCTGCTGATGTCTGTCTGCTGATGTCTGCTGATGTCTGTCTGGTGATGTCTGTCTGGTGATGTCTGTCTGGTGATGTCTGTCTGGTGATGTCTGTCTGCTGATGTCTGTCTGGTGATGTCTGTCTGGTGATGTCTGTCTGGTGATGTCTGTCTGGTGATGTCTGTCTGCTGATGTCTGTCTGATGATGTCTGTCTGGTGATGTCTGTCTGCTGATGTCTGTCTGGTGATGTCTGTCTGCTGATGTCTGTCTGCTGATGTCTGTCTGCTGATGTCTGTCTGGTGATGTCTGTCTGCTGATGTCTGTCTGGTGATGTCTGTCTGCTGATGTCTGTCTGGTGATGTCTGTCTGGTGATGTCTGTCTGGTGATGTCTGTCTGCTGATGTCTGTCTGGTGATGTCTGTCTGCTGATGTCTGTCTGGTGATGTCTGTCTGCTGATGTCTGTCTGGTGATGTCTGTCTGGTGATGTCTGTCTGGTGATGTCTGTCTGGTGATGTCTGTCTGATGATGTCTGTCTGGTGATGTCTGTCTGGTGATGTCTGTCTGGTGATGTCTGTCTGGTGATGTCTGTCTGGTGATGTCTGTCTGGTGATGTCTGTCTGCTGATGTCTGTCTGCTGATGTCTGTCTGCTGATGTCTGTCTGGTGATGTCTGTCTGCTGATGTCTGTCTGGTGATGTCTGTCTGGTGATGTCTGCTGATGTCTGGTGATGTGTGTCTGGTGATGTCTGTCTGGTGATGTCTGTCTGGTGATGTCTGCTGATGTCTGGTGATGTCTGTCCGCTGATGTCTGTCTGGTGATGTCTGTCTGGTGATGTCTGTCTGGTGATGTCTGCTGATGTCTGGTGATGTCTGTCTGCTGATGTCTGTCTGGTGATGTCTGTCTGGTGATGTCTGCTGATGTCTGTCTGCTGATGTCTGTCTGATGATGTCTGTCTGGTGATGTCTGTCTGGTGATGTCTGCTGATGTCTGTCTGGTGATGTCTGTCTGGTGATGTCTGTCTGGTGATGTCTGCTGATGTCTGTCTGGTGATGTCTGTCTGCTGATGTCTGTCTGGTGATGTCTGTCTGGTGATGTCTGTCTGCTGATGTCTGTCTGGTGATGTCTGTCTGCTGATGTCTGTCTGGTGATGTCTGTCTAGTGATGTCTGTCTGGTGATGTCTGTCTGCTGATGTCTGTCTGGTGATGTCTGTCTGCTGATGTCTGCTGATGTCTGTCTGGTGATGTCTGTCTGGTGATGTCTGTCTGCTGATGTCTGTCTGCTGATGTCTGTCTGGTGATGTCTGTCTGGTGATGTCTGTCTGCTGATGTCTGTCTGGTGATGTCTGTCTAGTGATGTCTGTCTGGTGATGTCTGTCTGCTGATGTCTGTCTGGTGATGTCTGTCTGCTGATGTCTGCTGATGTCTGTCTGGTGATGTCTGTCTGCTGATGTCTGTCTGCTGATGTCTGTCTGCTGATTGCTGATGTCTGTCTGGTGATGTCTGTCTGCTGATGTCTGCTGATGTCTGTCTGGTGATGTCTGTCTGGTGATGTCTGTCTGCTGATGTCTGTCTGGTGATGTCTGTCTGGTGATGTCTGCTGATGTCTGTCTGCTGATGTCTGTCTGATGATGTCTGTCTGGTGATGTCTGCTGATGTCTGTCTGGTGATGTCTGTCTGGTGATGTCTGCTGATGTCTGTCTGGTGATGTCTGTCTGGTGATGTCTGTCTGGTGATGTCTGCTGATGTCTGGTGATGTCTGTCTGCTGATGTCTGTCTGGTGATGTCTGTCTGGTGATGTCTGTCTGCTGATGTCTGTCTGGTGATGTCTGTCTGGTGATGTCTGTCTGGTGATGTCTGTCTGCTGATGTCTGTCTGCTGATGTCTGTCTGATGATGTCTGTCTGGTGATGTCTGTCTGGTGATGTCTGTCTGGTGATGTCTGTCTGCTGATGTCTGTCTGGTGATGTCTGTCTGCTGATGTCTGTCTGGTGATGTCTGTCTGGTGATGTCTGTCTGGTGATGTCTGTCTGGTGATGTCTGTCTGCTGATGTCTGGTGATGTCTGTCTGCTGATGTCTGTCTGGTGATGTCTGTCTGGTGATGTCTGTCTGGTGATGTCTGTCTGGTGATGTCTGTCTGCTGATGTCTGTCTGGTGATGTCTGCTGATGTCTGTCTGCTGATGTCTGTCTGGTGATGTCTGCTGATGTCTGTCTGCTGATGTCTGTCTGGTGATGTCTGCTGATGTCTGTCTGATGATGTCTGTCTGCTGATGTCTGTCTGGTGATGTCTGTCTGGTGATGTCTGTCTGGTGATGTCTGTCTGCTGATGTCTGTCTGCTGATGTCTGCTGATGTCTGTCTGCTGATGTCTGTCTGGTGATGTCTGTCTGGTGATGTCTGTCTGGTGATGTCTGTCTGATGATGTCTGTCTGGTGATGTCTGGTGATGTCTGCTGATGTCTGTCTGGTGATGTCTGTCTGGTGATGTCTGTCTGCTGATGTCTGTCTGGTGATGTCTGTCTGGTGATGTCTGTCTGATGATGTCTGTCTGGTGATGTCTGTCTGGTGATGTCTGGTGATGTCTGTCTGGTGATGTCTGTCTGCTGATGTCTGTCTGGTGATGTCTGATGATGTCTGTCTGGTGATGTCTGTCTGGTGATGTCTGTCTGCTGATGTCTGTCTGGTGATGTCTGATGATGTCTGTCTGGTGATGTCTGTCTGGTGATGTCTGCTGATGTCTGTCTGCTGATGTCTGTCTGGTGATGTCTGATGATGTCTGTCTGGTGATGTCTGTCTGCTGATGTCTGTCTGGTGATGTCTGATGATGTCTGTCTGGTGATGTCTGTCTGGTGATGTCTGCTGATGTCTGTCTGCTGATGTCTGTCTGGTGATGTCTGATGATGTCTGTCTGGTGATGTCTGTCAGGTGATGTCTGTCTGCTGATGTCTGTCTGCTGATGTCTGATGATGTCTGTCTGCTGATGTCTGTCTGGTGATGTCTGTCTGGTGATGTCTGTCTGGTGATGTCTGTCTGGTGATGTCTGGTGATGTCTGTCTGGTGATGTCTGTCTGGTGATGTCTGTCTGCTGATGTCTGTCTGGTGATGTCTGTCTGGTGATGTCTGTCTGGTGATGTCTGGTGATGTCTGTCTGGTGATGTCTGTCTGGTGATGTCTGTCTGGTGATGTCTGTCTGGTGATGTCTGTCTGAGGATGTCTGTCTGGTGATGTCTGTCTGGTGATGTCTGTCTGCTGATGTCTGATGATGTCTGTCTGGTGATGTCTGTCTGATGATGTCTGTCTGGTGATGTCTGTCTGCTGATGTCTGTCTGGTGATGTCTGTCTGGTGATGTCTGATGATGTCTGTCTGGTGATGTCTGTCTGCTGATGTCTGTCTGGTGATGGATGATATTTGTGTTTGGTGATGTGTACCATTACACCCACAGAGACCTGTTTGGAGATGAGATTAAGGATGAAGACGCACAGACCAGCGAGGACATTGAGTCAAGGTAAAACTGTCTTTCACTAGTGACTCGTGTAGACACGTGGGAGATTATTTCTTTGGTCTGGCATGTGATGTGATTTGTGTCCTCTACAGGAGACAGAAGCTGATCTACGAGCTGAATGCCTCAGGAAAATATTTCGCCTTCAAAGAACAGCTGAAACACTCGGTGGTCAAAATAGTGCGGGAGAAATATTTACGCACAACTGGCTTTGATGATAGGCAGCAACTACAGGTCTGTCATTCTTTCTAAATATCTAGCAACTACAGCCAATGATTGTGTAGCAGGCAGCTAATGATTGTGTAGCAGGCAGCTAATGATTGTGTAGCAGGCAGCTAATGATTGTTTGTGTGTCCTGCAGACATTTCTCTCCGAGCTGTACGTCTACCTAATCGACCAGATGCACGTCTCACTGGGCCATGTCCTGGCCCTAGAGGACCAGCCCCCAGTGCCCAAACCTCTGACAGACAGCTCCCAGCTCAAGCACTTTGCCAGGGAGGCGGAGGTCAACCAGAACTTCACACTGGCAGCCACCTACTACAAGGAGGTCAGTCAGGCTTTGTGCCCCACAAATCTAAATACTTGACCCCTGCTTGTGCCCAACAAATCTAAATACTTGACCCCTGTTTGTGCCCCACAAATCTAAATACTTGACCCCTGTTTGTGCTCTACAGAGAATAGCCCGAGACAGAGGTGACGCAGACTGTTGGTTTGACTTTGGCACATTCAACCTGTACATCCACGACATCCCTAAGGTTGGCACAAGTTTGACTTTTTCTGAAAATTTATACAATTATTTTCCTTTTTCAAGAAAAATGAGTAAAAAATTCAGAAAAAAATTACTTTCTTTTAGTTTATTTTCTTACTGATAAAAAATTATAGAATTTTCATGCATTGATTAAGTGAAATGTAACAGGTAAAACCTTCATTTATTTTATACTCAAAATGTAATATTTACTAATTATTGTTTTAATTAATAATAATTCAGAAGACATTCCTAAATGTCCGCATTATGTTTCCATTGTTGTTTGTGTTTATGTGTTAATGTTCATGTTTATTTTTGCTTTGCTTTACTTTTTGCTTTATTTTTTGCCCTTGGATTTAAGTTTTTGGTTATGATTGCATTTATGTTTGGATTTCCATTGTTTGCTTTTGTGTTTATGTTTCTGTTTGCGATGTTGGTTGTGTTAATGTTTGCATTTATGTTTGTGTTTACATTATCTCTGCATGAATGTTGATCTTTAGTTTAAAATGTTTGCATTTGCCTTTATGTTTGTTGTATATATTCCCAAATCCCTGGGAGTGCAGGGTATATGTTGCTTAATGAGTATACAAGTCATGGTCCTCTACAGATAAGTTTATCTCAAATGTATGTATGTGGGGCATCTGTCTAGGACTAGAGTTGGTCAGGGACATCAACTTAGCTTAGTGTGCCAATGCTTAAAAATAGGGTTTTTATTTTTCTCAGGCAGAAGAGTGCTTCAAGGAATGTATTGCAATCAACCAAAAGCACATCCATGGGTGAGTCATGAGGTCTCAGTGTCTCAGTCTAATGTGGGCTTGTATGTATGCTGACAGAGGTTTTATTTTTCTTAGTCTTATGTGGGCTTGTATGTATGCTGACAGAGGTTTTATTTTTCTCAGTCTAATGTGGGCTTGTATGTATGCTGACAGAGGTTTTATTTTTCTCAGTCTAATGTGGGCTTGTATGTATGCTGACAGAGGTTTTATTTTTCTCAGTCTAATGTGGGCTTGTATGTATGCTGACAGAGGTTTTATTTTTCTCAGTCTGATGTGGGCTTGTATGTATGCTGACAGAGGTTTTATTTTTCTCAGTCTAATGTGGGCTTGTATGTATGCTGACAGAGGTTTTATTTTTCTCAGTCTTATGTGGGCTTGTATGTATGCTGACAGAGGTTTTATTTTTCTCAGTCTTATGTGGGCTTGTATGTATGCTGACAGAGGTTTTATTTTTCTCAGTCTAATGTGGGCTTGTATGTATGCTGACAGAGGTTTTATTTTTCTCAGTCTAATGTGGGCTTGTATGTATGCTGACAGAGGTTTTATTTTTCTCAGTCTTATGTGGGCTTGTATGTATGCTGACAGAGGTTTTATTTTTCTCAGTCTAATGTGGGCTTGTATGTATGCTGACAGAGGTTTTATTTTTCTCAGTCTAATGTGGGCTTGTATGTATGCTGACAGAGGTTTTATTTTTCTCAGTCTAATGTGGGCTTGTATGTATGCTGACAGAGGTTTTATCTTTCTCAGTCTTATGTGGGCTTGTATGTATGCTGACAGAGGTTTTATTTTTCTCAGTCTTATGTGGGCTTGTATGTATGCTGACAGAGGTTTTATTTTTCTCCGTCTAATGTGGGCTTGTATGTATGCTGACAGAGGTTTTATTTTTCTCAGTCTAATGTGGGCTTGTATGTATGCTGACAGAGGTTTTATTTTTCTCAGTCTTATGTGGGCTTGTATGTATGCTGACAGAGGTTTTATTTTTCTCAGTCTAATGTGGGCTTGTATGTATGCTGACAGAGGTTTTATTTTTCTCAGTCTAATGTGGGCTTGTATGTATGCTGACAGAGGTTTTATTTTTCTCAGTCTAATGTGGGCTTGTATGTATGCTGACAGAGGTTTTATCTTTCTCAGTCTTATGTGGGCTTGTATGTATGCTGACAGAGGTTTTATTTTTCTCAGTCTTATGTGGGCTTGTATGTATGCTGACAGAGGTTTTATTTTTCTCAGTCTAATGTGGGCTTGTATGTATGCTGACAGAGGTTTTATTTTTCTCAGTCTTATGTTGTATGGGCTTGTATGTATGCTGACAGAGGTTTTATTTTTCTCAGTCTTATGTTGTATGGGCTTGTATGTATGCTGACAGAGAGGATTGAAATGGCTGAAACATTTTTTGAAGCAGCCACTTGTGTAGACAACAAAAGTATTCTCGCATGGACCATGCTAGGTAAACTATGTTATCCACTGTAGGCTACAGGTTTGTTTTATGATGTTGTACAGATTTGTTTTATGATGTTTTATGATGTTGTACAGGTTTGTTTTATGATGTTGTACAGGTTTGTTTTATGATGTTGTACAGGTTTGTTTTATGATGTTGTACAGGTTTGTTTTATGATGTTGTACAGGTTTGTTTTATGATGTTTTATGATGTTGTACAGGTTTGTTTTATGATGCTGTACAGGTTTGTTCTATGATGTTCTATGATGTTGTACAGGTTTGTTTTATGATGTTCTATGATGTTGTACAGGTTTGTTTTATGATGTACAGGTTTGTTTTATGATGCTGTACAGGTTTGTTTTATGATGTACAGGTTTGTTTTATGATGCTGTACAGGTTTGTTTTATGATGCTGTACCCAATGAAATTGGAGCAGAAATGGCCTACATTGAGGCCAACAAGTTGAACACGGCCAAGATCTTGGCTCAACGGGAGGAGGAGAAACGCAAAGAGGAGGAGGGTAAAGGTAAAGTTTGTCAGTCAGATTGTCTGTCAGAATGTCTGTCAGAATGTCTGTCAGAATGTCTGTCAGAATGTCTGTCAGAATGTCTGTCAGAATGTCTGTCAGAATGTCTGTCAGAATGTCTGTCAGAATGTCTGTCAGAATGTCTGTCAGAATGTCTGTCAGAATGTCTGTCTGAATGTCTGTCAGAATGTCTGTCTGAATGTCTGTCAGAATGTCTGTCTGAATGTCTGTCAGAATGTCTGTCAGAATGTCTGTCAGAATGTCTGTCAGAATGTCTGTCAGAATGTCTGTCTGAACGTTTGTGACCTTGCACCTTGCAGCAGTCTCGGAGCAGATGTTGGAGCCAGAAGTTGAGACAACAGAACCAGCGCAGCCCCTTTCAGACAGGTCAAAGACATCTTCACTCAACAAGAAAGGTCAGTTTGACCTTGGCTCTCTGGCCTGCTGTCTGTCTAACCTTGTGTCAACCTGTCATTGTCAAGTAGAACATTGTTTTAAATGTTAGATTTTAAATTCTTTAAATCCTAATGTTTTTGAGGAGAACTAATCCAGAGTTTGATTCTAGGTCAACCAGACAGTGCTGGGGGTAAGTTTCTGGTCACCTGCGGAATTTATTCAAATTTAAAGTTCAGTCAGACATTACTGTGGGAAAACTTGTGGATAACCAACTCATATAATAATGAGGTGATGTAATATTGAGGTGATGTAATATTGAGGTGATGTAATAATGAGGTGATGTAATAATGAGGTGATGTAATAATGAGTAGGGGCTGGCGCATGTTAAACTATAACCCACCTATAAAGTAACATGCACAAACGAACTTTGAACCCACACATTTTATATATATATATATATATATATATATATATATATATATATATATATATATATATATATATATATATATATATATATATATATATGCCTATATATATTTATTCATTCATTTATCTACATATAAACACAGCATACCTTCTGTCTGGTAATTTGTTAAATTGTTTAGCCAACAAGCCTCCATCAGCCAAACCATCCATGTCACGCCCCAGCAGTCAGAAAGGGATGACAGTTGAGCCACCCTCGGACCAATCCTCCACCAGAGACTCCATCCTTGCCTCTCATCCAAGCATCTACATGCAGGCTGTTGATTGGCTGTTGCAAGTCAAGGCGGTCCCAGTAAGTCTACCATCTTGACCAGTCTCTCTAAGTCTACCATCTTGACCAGTCTCTCTAAGTCTACCATCTTGACCAGTCTCTCTAAGTCTACCACCATTTTGTTTCTCAGTTCACAGAGCGGGCCTTGGGCCACGAGTTGGTCACCTGTAGTGGGGGGCCCAGCGCCGCCTACAACATCTGTCTGGCGCGCCTCAGGCTGCAGAAAGGGGAATACAGGGAGGCGGAGGAATGTCTGACTGAAGCTCTACAGACAGAATTTCAGGTTCTTACAGGCTGGCACAGGCACACACACACATATACATTACATACACACACATATGTACCTTACATACACACACATATACCTTACATTCACACTCCCAACACATACATCTAACACACACACACTAGACACAAGCAAACAACCACACAATCCACCAATGATCTTTATCTTGATCTAGAACAATCCACCAATGATCTTTATCTTGATCTAGAACAATCCACCAATGATCTTTACCTTGATCTAGAACCCTGATGCCTGGGCTCTGCTAGGCCATGTCAAGTACTTGACCTCCGACCTGCCCACAGCCAGAGACTGCTACGAGAGAACTTTGTCGTTTGTGACAGACGCCAGCGAGACCCACTCCATCTACCTCCGTCTGGCATCCATTTATTTACAGGAGGAAAGGGTAACTGGACACTTGCACGGACAATATCTGGACACTTGCACGGACAATATCTGGACACTTGTACAGACAATATCTGGACACTTGCACAAACAATATCTGGACACTTGCACAGACAATATCTGGACACTTGCACGGACAATATCTGGACACTTGCACAAACAATATCTGGACACTTGCACAGACAATATCTGGACACTTGCACGGACAATATCTGGACACTTGCACGGACAATATCTGGACACTTGCACGGACAATATCTGGACACTTGCACAGACAATATCTGGACACTTGCACGGACAATATCTGGACACTTGCACAAACAATATCTGGACACTTGCACGGACAATATCTGGACACTTGCACGGACAATATCTGGACACTTGCACGGACAATATCTGGACACTTGCACAGAATATCTGGACACTTGCACGGACAATATCTGGACACTTGCACGGACAATATCTGGACACTTGCACGGACAATATCTGGACACTTGCACGGACAATATCTGGACACTTGTACAGACAATATCTGGACACTTGCACCAAGGTGCCCTCACTTTCTCCCTCCACCAAGGTACCCTCACTTTCTCCCTCCACAAAGGTGCCCTCACTTTCTCCCTCCACCAAGGTGCCCTCACTTTCTCCCTCCACCAAGGTGCCCTCACTTTCCCCCTCCACCAAGGTGCCCTCACTTTCCCCCTCCACCAAGGTGCCCTCACTTTCTCCCCCCACAGATGTTTATGTGATGTCACAACTTGTCTCATATGTTAGGCTACACGTATATTGAGGTACAGATGTTTATGTGATGTCACAACTTGTGTCATATGTTAGGCTACACGTATATTGAGGTACAGATGTTTATGTGATGTCACAACTTGTCTCATATGTTAGGCTACACGTATATTGAGGTACAGATGTTTCTGTGATGTCACAACTTGTGTCCTATGACTTTCAGTTCCACGAGGCCAAGAATACTTTTCTGCTGGCATGTAAGAAGTCGCCATCTTGTATTTCCTGGCTTGGTGTCGGTATAGCTTGCTACAGGGTCAGTTTGTACACATTTTTATTTTGGGGCAAGTTTGTACACACTTTTGTTACGGGGCAAGTTTGTACACACTTTTGTTACGGGGCAAGTTTGTACATACTTTTGTTACGGGGCAAGTTTGTACACACTTTTGTTACAGGGAAGTTTGTACACACTTTTGTTATGGGGCAAGTTTGTACACACTTTTGTTACGGGGCAAGTTTGTAGAGTGGCTTCAATCTGTGGTGGAGAATATGTATACATACATATGTATACATACATATTTATGTAAGAACTGAGCTGCCCATATACTGGAAAATGATTTATTAAAGTGTGTTTCTTTTAATTGACCCTTCTTAAATGTCTTTTTGTTTTTACTGTATATTGCAATTTGTAAAATCATGTAGTAGTTCTCATGCTAGGATTTTAAAACGTTGAAAATTTAAGTGGGAAGAAGGAGAGGGGCTGCACTTTTATTTATTTTATGCTGCAAGTTGGACAATGTAGCCCACCCCTTCATTTTTAATATTTTGGTTTGAGCAACTCCTGACCTGCCCAAATTTTTGAGCAACCCCTGACCTGCCCAAATTTTTGAGCAACCCCTGACCTGCCCAAATTTTTGAGCAACTCCTGACCTGCCCAAATTTTTGAGCAACTCCTGACCTGCCTAAATTTTTGAGCAACTCCTGACCTGCCTAAATTTTTGAGCAACTCCTGACCTGCCTAAATTTTTGAGCAACTCCTGACCTGCCCAAACTTTTGAGCAACTCCTGACCTGCCCAAATTTTTGAACAACTCCTGACCTGCCCAAATTTTTGAGCAACTCCTGACCTGCCTAAATTTTTGAGCAACTCCTGACCTGCCCAAACTTTTGAGCAACTCCTGACCTGCCCAAATTTTTGAGCAACTCCTGACCTGCCTAAATTTTTGAGCAACTCCTGACCTGCCTAAATTTTTGAGCAACTCCTGATCTGCCTAAATTTTTGAGCAACTCCTGACCTGCCTACATTTTTTAGCAACTCCTGACCTGCCCAAATTTTTTAGCAACTCCTGACCTGCCTAAATTTTTGAGCAACTCCTGACCTGCCCAAATTTTTGAGCAACTCCTGACCTGCCTAAATTTTTGAGCAACTCCTGACCTGCCTAAATTTTTGAGCAACTCCTGACCTGCCCAAATTTTTGAGCAACTCCTGACCTGCCTAAATTTTTGAGCAACTCCTGACCTGCCCAAATTTTTGAGCAACTCCTGACCTGCCCAAACTTTTGAGCAACTCCTGACCTGCCCAAATTTTTGAGCAACTCCTGACCTGCCTAAATTTTTGAGCAACTCCTGACCTGCCCAAATTTTTGAGCAACTCCTGACCTGCCTAAATTTTTGAGCAACTCCTGACCTGCCCAAATTTTTGAGCAACTCCTGACCTGCCCAAACTTTTGAGCAACTCCTGACCTGCCCAAATTTTTGAGCAACTCCTGACCTGCCTAAATTTTTTAGCAACTCCTGACCTGCCCAAATTTTTTAGCAACTCCTGACCTGCCCAAATTTTTGAGCAACTCCTGACCTGCCCAAATTTTTAGCAACTCCTGACCTGCCTAAATTTTTGAGCAACTCCTGACCTGCCCAAACTTTTGAGCAACTCCTGACCTGCCCAAATTTTTGAGCAACTCCTGACCTGCCCAAATTTTTAGCAACTCCTGACCTGCCCAAATTTTTGAGCAACTCCTGACCTGCCCAAATTTTTGAGCAACTCCTGACCTGCCCAAATTTTTGAGCAACTCCTGACCTGCCCAAATTTTTGAGCAACTCCTGACCTGCCCAAATTTTTGAGCAACTCCTGACCTGCCCAAATTTTTGAGCAACTCCTGACCTGCCCAAATTTTTGAGCAACTCCTGACCTGCCCAAATTTTTGAGCAACTCCTGACCTGCCCAAATTTTTGAGCAACTCCTGACCTGCCCAAATTTTTGAGCAACTCCTGACCTGCCTAAATTTTTGAGCAACTCCTGACCTGCCCAAATTTTTAGCAACTCCTGACCTGCCCAAATTTCAGCTGAATGAGCTCGCTGAGGCGGAAGATGCCCTGTCCGAGGCCAACGTCCTCAACAACAATGACCCTGAGGTCTGGGCCTATCTCTCCCTAGTGTGTCTGCAAACAAATCGACAGCTTGAAGCAGAACAAGCCTACAAGTACGCTGTCAAGGTCGGTAGATATATACATAGACATACATACACATAGATTTATCAACATATTTATGCCTATTTACATATATATATATATAATATATATATATATATATATATATATATATATATATATATATATATATATATATATATATATATATATATATGCATTAATATGTTGATATATGTATTATATGAAACGAGCCAACCCGCTGTGTATCATAGGCCTCTATTTAGTTGTTTTATTTTCTACTTTCCAGTAATTAATAAATTGTGAATTCGACAGTACCAATGCTGCCACTGAAAATATTTGCTTTAAAACACTATCAGTAGGTCGTTAAGGACGATACCCCCGCTCACCCTCCTTCCCCCCCCCCCCCCGTGAAAGCAGCCTCCTCTTAGTTACCTCCCCTAAGTTTAAAATTGTTTCAAACTAAATTATCTGCCCCTAATAGCCGTCACTAAACCCGGCTCTACGATTGTAAACATTTAGCGTGAACCACAGCTCACCAGACCATGTTGGGGTGGGGTTGGTAGAGATATAAGCTTAGAGAGGAAGAGAGGGGTTGTAAGGAGGCGCGCTTACAGCTTGGTGTTTTCTAGGGTATCCAAGAAGAGAATTATATATATATAGACATAGATAGACATACATACACATATATTTATCAATGAATTTAAGCATATTTATATATATATATATATATATATATATATATATATATATATATATATATATATATATATATATATATATATATATATATATATATATATATATATATATATATATATATATATATATATATATATATATATATATAAATATGCACATAATTACGCTGAAAAATATATACGTTGATATATATATATATATATTATATATATATATATATATATATTATATATATATATATATATATATATATATATATATATATATATATATATATATATATATATATTATATATATATATATATTATATATATATATATATATATATATATATATATATATATATATATATATATATATATATATATATATATATATACGTAGGCTCCATATACATATGCCTGTGATCTGCATATGATCCACAGCTGAACCTGGATGATGGTGCTCTGTTAGCTGAGATCCACAGAGAACAAGTTTCACATGGCTTTGGCAATCCAGCTTTTTAGAGTCACGACAGTTTGGGTTCAAGTAAGAGTTATAATTTGGGTTCAAGTAAGAGTTATAATTTGGGTTCAAGTAAGAGTTATAATTTGGGTTCAAGTAAGAGTTATAATTTGGGTTCAAGTAAGAGTTATAATTTGGGTTCAAGTTAAATGAAATTGATTTATGTTTTTGTATTAAACTAAGTCATGCTAGTGTTGAAGTAAGAGAATATTACTTTTTTTTTCTTGAATGTATTTCCAGATGAACCTAAGAAATCATCAACATTCAGTCAATGATGCCTTCTTTGTTAAAGGGAATTTTTTTTTAAAGTTGGGATATCAATGTTGAGTAGAAGCTGCTCATCAAATGTGGTGATTTGTGGTTGCTCATCAAATGTGGTGATTTGTGGCTGGTGATCAAATGTGGTGATTTGTGGCTGCTCATTGAATACTTTCTTTTCTTGAATATTTGACTGCCATGCTTCTTACAATTGGTGTAGGCCTATCACATAGCAGATTGACCTATACACTGTCCATTAAAATTGAGTTTCTAAAACCATGTTAAAATCTTTTGGTTTCATTTAGATCTACATGTTGTCAGACTGTGTCTAGATGATGGCCCAACTGAAATGTTCACCTAAAATTGAATTCAAACAATAGGGACCTAACAATAAAAACTCAAAGGGTGTACTGTAAGCCCCTTATTTGACTTATTATTTAATAAACATTACCATTAGGCCTAGTATTAATTTTTTCAGTAGGCCTACAAAAACGTGATTTCCTAAAAAATATAGACAAGTTGCATCTCACAATAATTCTAAAGTTGATGATGCTGATTGTCACTCTATTCAGTTTTAACATTTAAAGGGCAGAATTTTAAAAAAAAATTCTTCTTTGGCTGTTACTACGTATAGGCTTCTCAAAACGAGGCTATAATCTCTATACTACTAAAACTCAAGTTTGTTTACATGTTTGAATATTTATTTGCTTTTGATTTGTCTGATTGACTACTGGAAAGAATCTGCTCTATGTGGAGAGGGTGAACGGAAAAAAAAGTAACAGGGAAAAAAACACAGAAAAAAGTCACAGTTTTTGCTAGGAAAAAAGTCACAGAAAAAAAGTCACAAAAATCTTATCAGAAATATTTTGATTTATTTGTTGAAAATTGTAAAATTTTGTATGTTTATTGTTATTGGTTGTATTTTTTTATAGTATATATTAACTATACAAGTTAAAAGTATTATGGTTTATAAAAATTGTAAGTAAAAAACACTCTAAGATACTTTACTCAACAATCTCAACTTTTGTTACGTATTTTGTTAAATACGCGTTAGAAAAGTTAATTATTAAAAAAATTTAGGTTCATCATTGTGTTTTGCATGTTGTGCAATGAGCGTGATAAATGTGGGCAGTAAAGGTGGTTGAACAAAGCATAATTATTGTTGCGATGAGTTGAGGGCAGTAAGTAAGATGAATTTACCATTTCACTGTAATTTAATGTTAGTATTTTTTAAAAACACGATGAAAACCGTGGACGTTGGAACATTCTATTAAATTCTATTTATATTGTATTTAACATAATTACAATCTACATACTTCATACTAAATATTTTTAGATGAATTATAAAAATGACCATGCTTATGCAACCTACACACATTACATTACATTTAATTAATTCTAAGCTAATTTGCACTCTCCGAAAATATAATTCATAAAAGTATTAACAAATTCCATCCAAATATAAATTTGTCACTTTTTTTCCTGTGACTCTTTTTCTGTGTTTTTTTCCCGTGTTTTTTTTTTCGCCCCCCCCCCCCCCGAAAATTTTTTACCGCCCCCCCCCCCCCCCCCCCCGAACGAAATTTATATAATTTATATAGAAAATATATACTTTTAACAGTGTCCGCCCCCCCCCCCCAAGAAAGTTTACCGCCCCCCCCCCCCCCGAAGATTTCAAGTGCCCCCCCCCCCCCCGGAGAAAAAAGTCTGGAAGAAACAATGGTGTGGTCAGACCCACGCTCAGCCAAAATCTGTGTTTTCACAGACAAAAACATGTCTGAGGTGGGAGGACACTGGTGAAGCATATGAAAAGATTATGTTGTCAGACCCATGCTCAGACGAAGTCAGTGTTTATAAAAGACAAAAAACGTCTAAGGTGTGATGCCTTTTTTAATGTCTCGTTATTTTGTGATGATAAGTGACAGACGTGATGTCATTTATGGATGACCCCCGAAACCCACAGTTATCTATTAACTAATGATAACGGGTAGTCTAGTTTTTTTTAAAAATACAGACTAGGTTTTCATACTAAGAAAAATTAAAGGGAAGCTACTCAAAAAATAATTCTTATTAAGATGGCTGCTGTTTTTAATACATATCTTATAGAATCTAGATCTAGATCTAGTGAATATTATTACTAAATGATCTAAAATTCTAAATCTAGTCTATGTGAATGTTAGGAATAAAATAAGGTAATCTCACGATATAGCGTCGGAAATTATCTGGTAATGTTTGTTGACTTTCGGTAGCATTCGTTACTGTAAAACCATAGTAAAAACATAGTTTATTTGACCGTTGAAATAAAAATAAAGTCTAGTGCATTTCATTAAATTAACTTAGGGCTATTCCCAGCTGGAACAGTTTTTTTTTGCTGATATGCCAACAATTACGTCACAAACAAAAAAATAACAAAAATAACCCTTCCATGACTAACTGGTAAAATATTTTGATAAAAGAGAAATGCAATTAGAGTGAGTCATAGCGCTAATGCATCAGATGGGTTTGAACCTGCACCTTAGGATATTTTTACCATTAAATCTATCAAAAACGGTCACGACTGTGAATAGACACTTCGTTAATTTTAATGGGTAATCTATCGTTTTAGGTACGTAAAATCGCCAGCGGCTAGTAATGTACGAAAAAGTTACCTCATTGTCAATGCTTTAATAGAAGTAGATCTATATTAGTATATTATTGTGATATATTTGTGTCAAATATTATAGAAAAATGATTAATAAACCTAAATCAATGGCTAAATATATCAATATAGGCCAGAAGTTAACTCTAAACAGCAGTGTTTGCGAGCAAGATTTGCTATTATAAACTATAAACAGCAGCCATTTGTAAAATAGAGTGGCTTCCCCTGTATCTCGCGCTATGAGTTTACAAAAAAAAAACTTAAACAAGATGGCTGCTATATATAGTAAATGAGCCGGTACATAAATGAAACAAGGAAACATTTTTGTATTTTTCAAAACATGTTACCTCCTCAAAATGCGAAATACTTATTAAAATTTAAGGAGTCACCTGTTTTTCACATTACTAGTCGCAGGTGTTTTTTATGTACCTAAAACGATAGATTACCAATTAATGTTTTAACATTGGTAGAAAAGAAACTGGATTTTCTTTTTAGAATTATTTATATAAAACAAATATTGAAATTCCAATGTTAAAGTTTTAATTTTTTTTTAAGAGGGAAAAGGGCCCCTATATGCATTGGCCCCTATGCCTTGTCTACGCAAAAAATGTTTTTGAGTTTTAAAACATCCAGTAACTAAGCTATCACACAACTATAAACACTTTTCCGGTTGCATAATTATAAATTTTTTCTGCATTCGAATATGCCTTTATTTTTATTTTTCTTCTTTAAATTAAATTTAGTTTATACATTTAAAACATCGAACATATTATTTTCAACTAAACTATATCAAGTTCTCCAAAGCCTGTGAGAGAGAGAAATGCGCACATGGGCTTTTATATATTACGATACACTGAACATATTGTTTACCAATTATTATTTGTAATCAATAACAGTTTAGAAGCCGCTCCTAAATGTCCTCTATATTTATTTCTATCTTTCGGTTTGCGTACAAGCTTTGGGTATTGTAGTCGTTCATTAAATTGAACCAGGCGCATCTGCCCACGCCCAGCAGGGTGCAATTTGCGCCCCGGCTATCCTGTGAGCACTGTGGTGTATACATTTAAAACAGTGCGATAGACTATTGATAAAAAAAAAGGGTTACTATAGACCTTCGCTACATCGAATCCAGGGCATCCTCTGGCACTCCCCTAGGGACTTGCCTGTAGCTGACTTGATGACTGTTTGACTTGCCTGTAGCTGACTTGGTGACTGTTTGACTTGCCTGTAGCTGACTTGATGACTGTTTGACTTGCTTGTAGCTGACTTGATGACTGTTTGACTTGCCTGTAGCTGACTTGATGACTGTTTGACTTGCCTGTAGCTGACTTGGTGACTGTTTGACTTGCCTGTAGCTGACTTGGTGACTGTTTGCCTGTAGCTGACTTGGTGACTGTTTGACTTGCCTGTAGCTGACTTGGTGACTGTTTGACTTGCCTGTAGCTGACTTGGTGACTGTTTGACTGTAGCTGACTTGATGACTGTTTGACTTGCCTGTAGCTGACTTGATGACTGTTTGACTTGCCTGTAGCTGGGCTTTCCAGTGAGTGCTATGGCAAAAGAACTACGTTTGTTTTAAACAGTGCGATAGACTTTGGATAAGACGGAGTATTTTAGTCGTTTATTAAGTTGAATCAAGTGGTTCCACAGGTGCCCCTGCAGGGTGCGATTACTAAGTTGAATCAAGTGGTTCTGCAGGTGCCCCTGCAGGGTGCGATTACTAAGTTGAATCAAGTGGTTCCACAGGTGCCCCTGCAGGGTGCGATTACTAAGTTGAATCAAGTGGTTCCACAGGTGCCCCTGCAGGGTGCGATTACTAAGTTGAATCAAGTGGTTCCACAGGTGCCCCTGCAGGGTGCGATTTGGTCAGCCTTGCTATACTGTGAGCACTATACTTTTATGTTTGTATTTAAGTTTGTGTTTATGATCTGTGTTCTTGTTTGCGTTTGTGATTGCGTTAATGTTTGCGTTTAATTTTGTGTTTGCAGTTTTGTTTGTGCTTGTGTTTGGGTTTGGGTTTTTGTTTGTGTTTGCTCTTGTGTTTGCGTTTATGTTTGCGTTTTTGTTTGCTTTTGTGTTTGGATTTGGGTTTGTGCTTTCATTTGTGTTTTGGTTGGTTGTTATTAGGGTTAATTCGAAAGGTAATATATTTCGTAAAGCCAGGCAATGCCAAGTAAATGCCTCTTAAACTAACGAAACACGACGTCACATTGGAGCATATAGTAGAAATTAGTCTACAGCAGGAGAGTGCACACAGTAATATGATGTCATTGATTCTTGAGTAAACATTGAATTAAAAAAAAAAAAATATATATATATATATATATATATATATATATATATATATATATATATATATATATATATATATATATATATATATATATATATATATATATATCAAGAAGCTGGTGCCCATTTGTGAACTATTACCCCGCCCCCTCTGCCCAAGTTGTAGACCTGCATATGCCACTATTGTGGATCTATTAGTATTAGCTTCGGATAAATTTTGTTAAAATTTAGTTACACTTATCCATAGGCAAGGGTTACTTACATTTTCATTAGGTACACTTACAATTTAGATATAGAATCTAGATCTATATCAGCATAATCCACTAGAATCTAAGATGAGTATAAAAAATTAATTTTTCCGTAATTAGCTATCTTTGGGGTGCAGCAATTTTCTCAAAAAACTTTTTTTGTTGACCCACTATCTAGCCTACCAAATATAATGCTCCACATTACATTCGAAACAGAGGAATGCATGAAGGAATGATGCTTGAAGCTGATCAACTGAGGTTTGAGCAGGTGCTGTTGTATAAGATGCTGGTGACTTGTAAACAACAAAATCAATCCATCAGCAGTTGTATTCATGGCGTGAGCAAAACATTGCTGCAATCTCCTCTTACTCTAGGTATGGCATTCTCAATTAACAATTTGCCTAAGTCCCCCACACTCTGCCCCAGTCCCCACACTCTGCCCCAGTCCCCACACTCTGCCCTAGTCCCCACACTCTGCCCCAGTCCCCACACTCTGCCCCAGTCCCCACACTCTGCCCTAGTCCCCACACTCTGCCCCAGTCCCCACACTCTGCCCTAGTCCCCCACATTTTGCCCTAGTCCCCACACTCTGCCCAAGTCCCCACACTCTGCCCCAGTCCCCACACTCTGCCCCAGTCCCCACACTCTGCCCTAGTCCCCACACTCTGCCCTAGTCCCCCACATTTTGCCCCAGTCCCCACACTCTGCCCTAGTCCCCCACATTTTGCCTTAGTCCCCACACTCTGCCCCAGTCCCCACACTCTGCCCTAGTCCCCACACTCTGCCCCAGTCCCCCACACTCTGCCCTAGTCCCCCACACTCTGCCCTAGTCCCCCACACTCTGCCCTAGTCCCCCACACTCTGCCCCAGTCCCCACACTCTGCCCTAGTCCCCCACACTCTGCCCCAGTCCCCACACTCTGCCCTAGTCCCCCACACTCTGCCCCAGTCCCCACACTCTGCCCCAGTCCCCCACATTTTGCCCTAGTCCCCCACACTCTGCCCTAGTCCCCCACATTCTGCCCTAGTCCCCCACACTCTGCCCTAGTCCCCCACACTCTGCCCTAGTCCCCCACACTCTGCCCTAGTCCCCCACACTCTGCCCTAGTCCCCCACACTCTGCCCCAGTCCCCCACACTCTGCCCCAGTCCCCACACTCTGCCCTAGTCCCCCACACTCTGCCCCAGTCCCCACACTCTGCCCCATTCCCCACACTCTGCCCTAGTCCCCCACACTCTGCCCCAGTCCCCACACTCTGCCCCAGTCCCCACACTCTGCCCCAGTCCCCACACTCTGCCCCAGTCCCCACACTCTGCCCCAGTCCCCACACTCTGCCAAAGTCCACCACACTCTGCCCTATCTCCTACACATCTTCCCATTGTTATTGGCACCAAATGCAAGCATAGATCAGCCTGAATAAACTTTGTTCCAGTGGTTGTTGAAAACTGCACATGTGGCCGCTTCTTTGAACAACACCCAACCACAGTGGAGGACACAGAGGCCATCCGATTGGGGCCGTTCCTGCAGACACTACAGAGAGGGACGTGCAAATGTTGGAGGCCAGGTCAAGCGGCGGGGTGTGTGGCCAGCAAGACCTGGCTCCATGTGGCGGCCGCCCTCGGCTCTCTAGAGCTGCTGGAGCACCTGGTGACTGAGGTCCAACTCAACATCAACTCTGTCACCTCTCTCCTCAACTTCACCTCTCTCACTCTGGCTGTCATGCAGACACGCAGTAAGCTGGCATGTCATTTATTGCTGCATGTCTGGTGGAGCTGACTGTTTGCCTGTAGCTGACTTGGTGACTGTTTGCCTGTAGCTGACTTGGTGACTGTTTGCCTGTAGCTGACTTGGTGACTGTTTGACTTGCCTGTAGCTGACTTGGTGGCTGTTTGCCTGTAGCTGACTTGGTGACTGTTTGCCTGTAGCTGACTTGGTGACTGTTTGCCTGTAGCTGACTTGGTGGAGTGGCTGTGTAGCCGGCCTGATGTTGACAAAAATGTTCTGGTCAAGAGTGAACAGCACACTGCCCTTGTGGAAGCCATGTTGGCCGACAAGTTCCACATTGTTGAGCTGCTGATACAGAGCCCTGGACTTGATTTAAACACAGTAAGTCAGCCCATCTGTTGGCTCCTCCATGTGCCCCCTCCATGTGCCCATCTGTTGGCTCCTCCATGTGCCCATCTGTTGGCCCCTCCATGTGCCCATCTGTTGGCTCCTCCATGTGCCCATCTGTTGGCTCCTCCATGTGCCCATCTGTTGGCTCCTCCATGTGCCCATCTGTTGGCCCCTCCATGTGCCCCCTCCATGTGCCCATCTGTTGGCTCCTCCATGTGCCCATCTGTTGGCCCCTCCATGTGCCCATCTGTTGGCTCCTCCATGTGCCCATCTGTTGGCTCCTCCATGTGCCCATCTGTTGGCCCCTCCATGTGCCCATCTGTTGGCTCCTCCATGTGCCCCCTCCATGTGCCCATCTGTTGGCTCCTCCATGTGCCCCCTCCATGTGCCCATCTGTTGGCTCCTCCATGTGCCCCCTCCATGTGCCCATCTGTTGGCTCCTCCATGTGCCCATCTGTTGGCTCCTCCATGTGCCCATCTGTTGGCCCCTCCATGTGCCCCCTCCATGTGCCCATCTGTTGGCTCCTCCATGTGCCCCCTCCATGTGCCCATCTGTTGGCTCCTCCATGTGCCCATCTGTTGGCTCCTCCATGTGCCCATCTGTTGGCTCCTCCATGTGCCCCCTCCATGTGCCCATCTGTTGGCTCCTCCATGTACCCATCTGTTGGCTCCTCCATGTGCCCATCTGTTGGCTCCTCCATGTGCCCCCTCCATGTGCCCATCTGTTGGCCCCTCCATGTGCCCATCTGTTGGCCCCTCCATGTGCCCATCTGTTGGCTCCTCCATGTGCCCATCTGTTGGCTCCTCCATGTGCCCCCTCCATGTGCCCATCTGTTGGCCCCTCCATGTGCCCATCTGTTGGCTCCTCCATGTGCCCATCTGTTGGCCCCTCCATGTGCCCCCTCCATGTGCCCATCTGTTGGCTCCTCCATGTGCCCATCTGTTGGCTCCTCCATGTGCCCCCTCCATGTGCCCATCTGTTGGCTCCTCCATGTGCCCATCTGTTGGCCCCTCCATGTGCCCCCTCCATGTGCCCATCTGTTGTCTCCTCCATGTGCCCATCTGTTGGCTCCTCCATGTGCCCATCTGTTGGCTCCTCCATGTGCCCCCTCCATGTGCCCATCTGTTGGCTCCTCCATGTGCCCATCTGTTGGCTCCTCCATGTGCCCATCTGTTGGCCCCTCCATGTGCCCATCTGTTGGCTCCTCCATGTGCCCCCTCCATGTGCCCATCTGTTGGCTCCTCCATGTGCCCATCTGTTGGCCCCTCCATGTGCCCCCTCCATGTGCCCATCTGTTGGCTCCTCCATGTGCCCATCTGTTGGCCCCTCCATGTGCCCATCTGTTGGCTCCTCCATGTGCCCCCTCCATGTGCCCATCTGTTGGCTCCTCCATGTGCCCATCTGTTGGCCCCTCCATGTGCCCCCTCCATGTGCCCATCTGTTGGCCCCTCCATGTGCCCCCTCCATGTGCCCATCTGTTGGGCCCACCATGTGCCCCCTCCATGTGCCCATCTGTTGGCTCCTCCATGTGCCCATCTGTTGGCTCCTCCATGTGCCCCCTCCATGTGCCCATCTGTTGGCTCCTCCATGTGCCCATCTGTTGGCCCCTCCATGTGCCCCCTCCATGTGCCCATCTGTTGGCTCCTCCATGTGCCCCCTCCATGTGCCCATCTGTTGGCTCCTCCATGTGCCCATCTGTTGGCTCCTCCATGTGCCCCCTCCATGTGCCCATCTGTTGGCTCCTCCATGTGCCCATCTGTTGGCCCCTCCATGTGCCCCCTCCATGTGCCCATCTGTTGGCCCCTCCATGTGCCCCCTCCATGTGCCCATCTGTTGGGCCCACCATGTGCCCCCTCCATGTGCCCATCTGTTGGCTCCTCCATGTGCCCATCTGTTGGCTCCTCCATGTGCCCCCTCCATGTGCCCATCTGTTGGCTCCTCCATGTGCCCATCTGTTGGCCCCTCCATGTGCCCCCTCCATGTGCCCATCTGTTGGCTCCTCCATGTGCCCATCTGTTGGCTCCTCCATGTGCCCCCTCCATGTGCCCATCTGTTGGCTCCTCCATGTGCCCATCTGTTGGCTCCTCCATGTGCCCCCTCCATGTGCCCATCTGTTGGCCCCTCCATGTGCCCATCTGTTGGCTCCTCCATGTGCCCATCTGTTGGCTCCTCCATGTGCCCCCTCCATGTGCCCCCTCCATGTGCCCATCTGTTGGCTCCTCCATGTGCCCATCTGTTGGCTCCTCCATGTGCCCATCTGTTGGCTCCTCCATGTGCCCATCTGTTGGCTCCTCCATGTGCCCCCTCCATGTGCCCCCTCCATGTGCCCATCTGTTGGCTCCTCCGTGTGCCCATCTGTTGGCTCCTCCATGTGCCCCCTCCATGTGCCCCCTCCATGTGCCCATCTGTTGGCCCCTCCATGTGCCCATCTGTTGGCTCCTCCGTGTGCCCATCTGTTGGCCCCTCCATGTGCCCATCTGTTGGCTCCTCCATGTGCCCATCTGTTGGCTCCTCCATGTGCCCATCTGTTGGCTCCTCCGTGTGCCCATCTGTTGGCCCCTCCATGTGCCCATCTGTTGGCTCCTCCATGTGCCCATCTGTTGGCTCCTCCATGTGCCCATCTGTTGGCTCCTCCATGTGCCCATCTGTTGGCTCCTCCATGTGCCCATCTGTTGGCTCCTCCATGTGCCCATCTGTTGGCTCCTCCATGTGCCCATCTGTTGGCTCCTCCATGTGCCCCCTCCATGTGCCCATCTGTTGGCTCCTCCATGTGCCCATCTGTTGGCTCCTCCATGTGCCCCCTCCATGTGCCCATCTGTTGGCTCCTCCATGTGCCCCCTCCATGTGCCCCCTCCATGTGCCCATCTGTTGGCTCCTCCATGTGCCCATCTGTTGGCCCCTCCATGTGCCCATCTGTTGGCTCCTCCATGTGCCCATCTGTTGGCTCCTCCATGTGCCCATCTGTTGGCTCCTCCATGTGCCCATCTGTTGGCTCCTCCATGTGCCCATCTGTTGGCTCCTCCATGTGCCCATCTGTTGGCTCCTCCATGTGCCCATCTGTTGGCTCCTCCATGTGCCCCCTCCATGTGCCCATCTGTTGGCTCCTCCATGTGCCCATCTGTTGGCTCCTCCATGTGCCCCCTCCATGTGCCCATCTGTTGGCTCCTCCATGTGCCCCCTCCATGTGCCCATCTGTTGGCTCCTCCATGTGCCCATCTGTTGGCTCCTCCATGTGCCCCCTCCATGTGCCCATCTGTTGGCTCCTCCATGTGCCCATCTGTTGGCTCCTCCATGTGCCCCCTCCATGTGCCCATCTGTTGGCTCCTCCATGTGCCCATCTGTTGGCTCCTCCATGTGCCCCCTCCATGTGCCCATCTGTTGGCCCCTCCATGTGCCCCCTCCATGTGCCCATCTGTTGGCTCCTCCATGTGCCCATCTGTTGGCTCCTCCATGTGCCCCCTCCATGTGCCCATCTGTTGGCTCCTCCATGTGCCCATCTGTTGGCTCCTCCATGTGCCCCCTCCATGTGCCCATCTGTTGGCTCCTCCATGTGCCCATCTGTTGGCTCCTCCATGTGCCCCCTCCATGTGCCCATCTGTTGGCTCCTCCATGTGCCCATCTGTTGGCTCCTCCATGTGCCCCCTCCATGTGCCCATCTGTTGGCTCCTCCATGTGCCCATCTGTTGGCTCCTCCATGTGCCCCCTCCATGTGCCCATCTGTTGGCCCCTCCATGTGCCCATCTGTTGGCCCCTCCATGTGCCCATCTGTTGGCTCCTCCATGTGCCCATCTGTTGGCTCCTCCATGTGCCCCCTCCATGTGCCCATCTGTTGGCTCCTCCATGTGCCCATCTGTTGGCTCCTCCATGTGCCCATCTGTTGGCTCCTCCATGTGCCCCCTCCATGTGCCCATCTGTCATCATAGTCTATCACCATTTCACCCTTGTCAGATCACCACACCACGATGGTATCCGTGTCACCACTATCCATGTCACCACTATCTCGCTGTCTGACAGAAAAACTTCCGGGGTGAGACACCTCTTGTAATTGCTGTGCGGATGAAAAATGCCGAGCTGGTGAAGCAGCTATTACAGGCAGGGGCAGACCACTCCATCCCTACCAGAAGAGGGTTGCTGCCCCTGCTTTTAGCTGTGAGCTCTGGTCACAAGGTTGTGAGAGAGTTTGTCCACGCAGGCGTTGATCTGAACCTCAAGACTCCACATGGAGAGACAGCTCTAACTTTAGCTCTTCAAGCTTGTAAGTTGGCCACAGTTTTCTGTCTAGTTTGCCCTTGAAAGTTGTATGTGAACATGACCTTGAGAGCTTTGTGTACAGATGACCTTGACGTTGTCCACACTTTGATCACTGGAGGAGCAAGTACTGTAGCTGACCCAGCAAGACCAGCTGTGGTTCTAGCTGCCAAGCTGGCTGACCTACAAACAACCTACTATCTGCTCCAGATTGGTGAAGATCCCAACCAGCAGGACTCGGAAGGCTGGACAGCCCTGCACTACGCCAGCTGGCATGGACGGGACGCTATGGTAGAGATGCTGTTAGCTCATGGCGCTGACCCAAACTGTCTGACCTCATGTCACGGTACAGCCCTGTCTATGGCTGTCTTTCACAGGTAGGTGTGCTGTCTAAGGCTGTCTTTCTCAGGTAGGCTTGCTGTCTTTCACAGGTAGGTGTGCTGTCTAAGGCTGTCTTTCACAGGTAGGCATGCTGTCTAAGGCTGTCTTTCACAGGTAGGCGTGCTGTCTAAGGTTGTCTTTCACAGGTAGGCGTGCTGTCTTTCTCAGTTAGGCGTGCTGTCTAAGGCTGTCTTTCACAGGTAGGCGTGCTGTCTAAGGCTGTCTTTCTGTTGGCTCCTCCCATTAGTGCTTGCTGTACTAAGGTGTGATCTGTTCAACCTAGTTGACCTACTTGTGACCTACTTGTATTTGAGCAGGCACAGTCAAGTGGTTGAGCTCCTGCTAGCGTCCTGTGCTGATCCAAACATCGCGGACACTGACCTTGACACTGCCCTACATTTGGCCGCGGCTAATGGCGACCAGAGAGTGGTGGAGAGTCTTCTGGCTGCAGGCGCTCAGGCCTGTGCCCTCAACCGGGCAGGAGCCACGCCTTTATTTAATGCCGTCGTTAGATCTTCTCTCTCCGTGGTCAGGCTGCTCCTGCCCCACTACACAGACGTCCAGCTGCAGCTGTGCAGCCGTGGCACCGTCTACAGCTGCTACCAGTCCAAGTCTCAAGTCCTGTACCCCACAGCACGCTCTCTGATGTGGGTGGCTGCTACCAGTGGCAGTGAAGGCATCGTCCAGCTCCTCTTGTACGCGGGCTACGACTGCAGCCAGCAAGTCTGGCTTGACCAGACGGATGCCCTGAGTCCAGCAGTCAGGGATCAACTTGCCCACTGTATGCCCAGAACTCTACTGGCCCTGGCCAGGTGTGTGGTCAGACGTCTCCTGGGTCCAGGCAACCAAAGACACGTCAACCAGCTGCGCCACATCCCCAGAGCTGTTCAAAACTATATTTCTCTAAGGACCATATAGAAGTGTGTCCTCAGGGTCTTATAGAATTGTGTCCTCAAGGTCCTATAGCTGTGTCCTCAAGGTCCTATAGATGTTTCCTCAAGGCCCTATAGATGTGTCCTCAAGGTCCTATAGAAATGTGTCCTCAAGGTCTTTCCTAAATGAAGTTGACACGACACTACAAACGTTATCTGGTTTAATTTACTTGACACCACATAAAGGACTAAGTGGAAAAAAGTAGGGTAAGGTGGGGTAATTCCACACACGGGGTAATTCCACACACTATATACTGAATACTCTCTATTTTTAATGGGAGTAAAGTTTAATTAAAAGTTACTATTCCCTGTTTCTACGAGGTCATTTCTTGTACTTTCTGATACTGTTAGAGAAGCGTTTATCTACATTCAGAGCAAGAATTTTAATTTTATCTGCATCTATCTTCAAACATCCTTAGGTAAGTACAACCCCTGCACTTTTTAAAAAATATTTTTTTTTGTCTTATTTTTAATTGTTGTCAATTATTTATTGATTATATGAAATCTTAATCATTTTTGTTAATAGTAACAGTTAATGATGCTAGATTCAGCCTTTAATTTAGAACAGGAAAGCATATTTTTTTCAATAGTAGGTGTGGGGCAATTCCACACACATGGTGTGGGGCAATTCCATACACTATAGTTTGGAATGTCCCATGTTGCTTTTTATACACTTTAGAGGGTTTAGCTTTTATTTTAAACCATTTAAACTGGTTGTGGCTAATTCTGTTATTCACAACTCATGATTTAATCTTAAAAAATACTTAAATAGTACTAGATCTAGTAATATTTATTTTTAACAAGACTCTGCTATTAAAGTTAAGTAAAATTGCCACAGACTTCTTTCATTTCTTTATCTATTATTTTTTTTACTGTACCTATATTACTTATTATAATTAATGCAATATTTAGAGCTAAACATCCCCATACACACATTAGTAATTAGACTTTCTAACCTTTAATTTTGTTCTTATTTCAGAATGGTCCACAATTATAAACGAAAAACTTCGGCCTATGACAGATGAGAGCAGAATTCAGGAGGAAGAAATTGAGACTTTCTCCTCACCCAGTGATGAAGACTGGTTGCCCCCATGCAAAATTGTTTCCGAGGGGAAAAATGTGTTTCACAAATTTTTAAATACATGAATTTTAAAATTTTCTTAATGTGTGTGGAATTGCCCCACTTGCCATGTTTTTGCAATAAAAGTGAAATATTTAAAAATTGTATTTTATTTTGTGAATTATCTCTATATTTGTTTGCCATCATATAAGTAATGCATGTCTAGTTATACCATCAATATTATATTGTGGTAGTGTTAATTTTAGATTTTTTACAAATTTTTTAGAAAAGTAGTGTATGGAATTACCCCGGGTTACCCTACTTGAGTATATTTTGAGAGTTTTGAGAAAAATGAGGTCTTAAACTGAAGCTGAAATACCTTTTATTCATTTTACTCAACTGTAACATTTTTTTTATATCCAGCACACACTGCTACATATCTAAACCAAGTTTTATACTTGGTTTGTCAAAAATAATGATTTTGTGGTAAATAAGAGGTTTTGCACTTAGGTACTTTTTGCTCTGAATTTTTATTTTCAACTTAATTTTTAGATTTACCAGCAATGTTTGGCACCCATCAATGTTTTTGTCAGCCCCCTTTTCACACACTGTTTATTTATAATTCAAGTAGCTGTTAGTATGATGTTTAAATAATAGGTAGATAACATTTATGTTAAGTTCACCAGTGACCATTTATTTGCCTATTAGTGTAGGTTACAGTAGATTGAATCATCTACCCAAGATGTTATAGTTGCCATTTGAATAATCCCTACTGGCTTTACACTCAACATAGTGATATTCTTTAACAAAAATAATAAACACACTTTCTAACAAAGTTCTGTCAAAATGTTTATTTCCATTCAAATTTTAAACAATAAAAGTATAAACGCAAAATGAATTTAAAACTATTGATGTATATTGAGTCAACAAAAATAGTAAAACAAATGTGATATAATAACTAGTTACATTCTTGATGGTAACCGTATTTACCTCAATAATTATTTACAAAAATCGAAATTTGAATGTCCTATGCTGGCTCATCCTGTTCTGTCAACATTTCTAAAGGTTTGAGGGAAGAAAGTTACACTCTCTGGATGATGGACATGCACCAAAAGTGACATAATATCATCAAATTTTGCTTTCTTTATTGGAAAAAAGCCGTTGAATGGCAAAAGGCAATCTTGAATTGCTGACTTTAACCCTTTCCCCGGCGACTGGGTGAAATCCACCCGAAGTCGCTATATTTTTGCTCATATCTCGAGTCTCGTTTTATAAATTTTTCTGGGCCTCATTCCCATCTATAAGGTGGTTGAAATGAACACATAGGTAGGGTTTAATTTTAAAAGGATGCAAAAATTATTTTTTTATGAGGTTTTGAATTTTTTTTTGTGCGGTCCCTGGCAACTGGGTTTAACACACCCGTACACAATATGTAAAGGAAACAATGTTTATAACACTTATAAACTGTCTTCTAAACATGTTTATGCTTATTATTTCTTTGATTTGTTTGATTCATATTTAAATGTAACTATAAATAGACACTCTGAAGGCTTTTGTGTAACAAAAATAATCAAACTATATTTAATGTCTTATCAATTATAATACAAAGAAATCATAAGATAAGCACATAAAATGTTTACAGTTCAAAGAGTACAGTTATTACACAGATTAATTGTGTGTTCTTTGCATATGTGACAAGTGCATTTGCTGCATATTGATTTCGTTTTTCGATCTCTCTTTGTTGGGCACAATGCGCATCTCTTTTGCTTTGTTGCTGAATTAGGAGAATCTTCAGATGTTCTTGGCCTTTTTGGAGGAGTTGAAGTTGTTTGTGTAGCTAATTCACGTGGCTGTAACATTTTTAAAACACTGGTGATATTCTGCTTCACAATATCCTGATATGTTGGGACAGATCGCTTTAGTATTTGTGGGAGGGTGAGGCATTGGGCCACGTCAATGTTGAACAGCTGTCTGTTGTCTGCATGGGCCAGAGAACTTGTAGGATATTTGCATTGAAATACGACTCTTGCAGCAATTGATGCCAAGTCCATCATGTTGAAAAAGACAACCAATGGCCATCTTTTTGTTTTACGCTTGACAGTGAATGCCTTAGCCATTTGATCCATGGCATCTACACCCCCTTTGGTCTTGTTGTAGTAGAGCACGATCTCTGGTTTTTTTAATGCATTTGTACTGTCAATGTCTGAGTTGTTGTGCATGGTGCTAAGCAACAAGACATTCTTCTGCTTTTTTGATTGATAACTGACCAGTGTGGTCTCTGGTCGGAATAAAAATGCAGAGTCATTCAAGGGCAGATGCTTTTTTTGTTGAAAGTCCTTGGGTAGGAATGTCTTGTTTCTTTTCACTGTTCCAACTAGCGTCAATCTACTTTTGGCCATTGATTCTGCAAGTTGCAAGTGCGTGAAATAATTGTCTGTAGTAATATTACGACCACTTCCCTGGAAGTCTCTGGTGAGAGAAACCACAATCTCTGAAGCAATTCCTAAATTTCTTTTTGCTGGCATGGCACTTCTTTTTTCTTTACCAAGATATGGACAGCCTCGTAGTGGATAGTTGGATAAAGAATCACATGCCCAAAATATTTTGATGCCATATTTATCTGGTTTGCTTGGCATATACTGAATAAACCTACAACGACCCCTGAAACCAACAAGTTGTTCATCTACAGTTATGTTCTCTCCTGGAACATAATACCTTGCGAGATTACTATGGAACAATTCCCAAATATCCCTTATGGGAGCAAAGACGTCACGAGAACGACGAACTGATCTAGTGTCCTTGTTGTCGAAACGAATGTGATTCTGAATCTCTTCATAGAAAAAGCTGCCCTTAAAAGTGGATTTCCATGTACAGGACTGAATAGCAGTTCAACAGAAATGCTGTTCTGGTGAAGAGCACCAGTTTGGAGCAAGCATCCTATAAAAGCTTTTATTTCAGTTGCATCAGTTCTCTGCCATTTGTCTTTTCTTGCTTTTTCTCCTTCCCTGTTGGTGCAATCAACAATTGTCTGTATCATGTTGTCGTTCATGTACAGAAGGAACGCTTCTGAGGGGGAAACCACATGACCAGTGAAGGGTGTTTGGTTCTTAGGCAGTTTGAGTACATTTTTCCTGGGAATGCGTACTTCAGGCAGTGGTCTAGTGTGCCACAATGTTGATTTGTCTTTTCCAAGTATTTTGTTTTCTCCTGTTTCATCGTGTTGCTCACCATCAGCTTGATTTGTTTCTATATCGTCATGACTGTCAACATTTGGCACATTGTTGATAGCTGCAGGTGCCAGTTCAGTGTACACAGAGTCAGCATCATCGTCATCAGAGCTACTTGTAGTCGAACCAGTAGGGTCTTCAGGTACTGGTGGCTGCCACTCTTCATCTTCTTCATCTGATACTTCAGATTCATCACTTGTTGGACCATCATCAACTGGTAGACTAAAACTATCAAAGATATTCCTTGCCATTTGCACTTGAGTTGAGACAATCGTGCTTGTGGTAGTCTTTAGGAAGTTGTGTGCTCAGTCTAGGTTTGTGCCTCTATTTATACACCAAACACCAGGGATCACAGTCTGTAGAATTTTTTTTCCCACCCCATGTTCATCAATAAATTACCTCGTGTCAACTGTCTTGTAGCATTCCAGGGGGTTCTGACTTTTTGTCTTAATTCCCAATTCTTATTTGTTCAATGTCGGATAAAGATGTCAAAGCTACTAGAATGTCTCTCTATCTGCATTCCAAAGCTCCATAAATAAAGTACAAATCACTTTACATGTCCTCCCACAGGTTCTCTTATTCCTGCATTTCATTAACCTATTGTAACTCTAAACTACAGTAATGTCTGTATTTGCATTTCAGAGCTCCAGAATAGAATACAAATCACTTCATGTGTCCTCCCACAGGTTTACTCTTACTTGTACATCCCATTAACCTGTAGTATCTTACTACACCCCTGCATTTCATTGACCTTTTGTAACTCTAAACTACAGTTCTGTCTGTAACTGCTAAGTCAGAGCTCCAGCTAAGAGTATAAATCACTACATGTGTCCACCCACAGGTTAACTCTTGCTTGAGAATCCCATCAACCTGTAGTATCACATTACAGCTTTCCCATTGACAACAACTTGTCTT